AAGGACTAAGTCAAATGCTCAGTCATTAACAATAGGTTACAAAGATGAAGAATCATTTCATCGGCTTGGATCTTTGGAAAAATAAAGCGGGAGTGATCTCCCCTAAACTCCCTCGAATCTATATCTATAATTCTCTTCTGTGAGTCGTTAGAAAACAAGCTGCAAGCGCCTCCTTGCAGTCCCCTCTCTTTCTCTTTATCACTACCACCCCCACTCCACCCCACATTTTCTGGTGAGCTGTGGTCACGCTGTTTACATTTTACAATCATAGAGACGGGTTTGTTGACGGCTATTAGGGGCAGATAATTTAGTTTGAAACGATTTTAAGCTTAGAGGAGGTAACTAAGAGGAGGCTGCTTTCACGTGGGGGGGGGGGGGGGGGGTTAGTGTTTTAAAGCAAATATTTTCAGTGGCAGCATTGGTACTGTCGAATTCAAAAATTATAAATTACTGAAAAGTAGAAAAAAAAAACAACTAAATAGCGGCGTATGATACGCAGCGGGTCGGCTCGTTTACTTATATTACACTACGGGGAATAGCAACTCGGGATATTTTTAATGATTTGTAAAAAAAAAAATTGCGAACTACATGTACAGCAAACAATGTGTATAATAGTGCGAAATATCAGTACTTTATAAATTCACTAGACTACCAGTTATCTAGTTAAATAACTGTGGGTTTTGGGGGTCATCCATAAATGACATCACGTCTGTCCCTTATCATCACAAAATAACCAGACCCCACATTAAATAACCCGGGAGCGATCTCCCCTAAACTTTCTCGAATATTCTTATATATAACAACAGGGGATGGGAACTCGGGATATAGTTATGATTTTTAATCCATTTTAAATACTTATTTTAAAATAGAATAGAATCTCATAGAAAAAAGAATTGCGCACCAAGCGAACGCCAAAACAAAATGTGCATAATAGTGCGGAATATTATTAGTACTTCATAAATTTACAAGCGTTTTTTGAGAAATCGGAAATAGCGTAAATTACTACTTCCGGTCAACGGAAATTACTCAAAATTTGATAGAAGGTAGAGGATTAGATCTTTTACTTACATGTGAAATTTCATTTATTTATATGCATTTTTTGAGAAATCGGAAATAGCGTAAAGTACTAATTACGGAAATTACTAAATATTTGACAGAAGGCAGAGAATTAGATCTTTTACTTATACGTGAAATTTAGTCTATCTGAAACAGTACTCAAGTTATAGGCTTATGAAAAACCGAAAGTTTCCAGTTACCGGAAATCGCTGAAAAGTTGATACAGAACTACAAATTTCATATAATACTTATATATGAAATATCGTGAACCTAGCTATAACGCTACTCAAATTATCGTGTTCACAGACACACGCCCACACATACGGGCAAAAGTTTTTCAGAATCAGAGAGGTGTAAAACGTTAAGATTTGTGAATATCTCGAATTCGATCTTTTTTGCAGGATTACAATACTTCCTCTATATTCTATACCAGAGGGGTGTCTCTAACCAGTGGTGTGTGACAAGGGGTTATATTTTTGTGAGAAGCTAAGATAACGTCATAACCACATGACATACAAACCACATGACGTCAAACCACATGAGATACAAACCACATGACGTCAAACCACATGACGTCAAACCACATGACGTCAAACCACATGACGTCAAACCACATGACGTCAAACCACATAACGTCAAACCACATGAATACCTACTTTTGCTTGGCCACTAGCAACAAATCTGTAAAGAGGAACATATAGCGATCTTGTATCTGCATGCCCTGTAGAAGAATCGAAAACCTTTTAGTTCTAGCCAGTGTTTCTTTCAGGCTTTTTCTCCGATGGAGGGGGGGGGGGGGAGAAGCACTTCAAATCTGGGGGGGGGGGGGGGGCAAAATATTCTGAAAAGCAGATACTGCTAAAAAATAAGCATACATTTTCTGTATAAATTCTATTTTGTTTGGTTTTAGCACTTGAGAAGTCAAACAATCCTGTCTCAAACTTGGGCCTGTCAAAGTGTTCTAACTGTTGAAAACTTGGGCCAGTCAAAGAGTTCTAACTGTTGAAAACTTGGACCAGTCAAAGTGTTCTAACTGTTGAAAACTTGGGCCAGTCAAAGTGTTCTAACTGTTGAAAACTTGGGCCAGTCAAAGTGTTCTAACTGTTGAAAACTTGGGCCAGTCAAAGAGTTCTAACAGTTGAAAACTTGGGCCAGTCAAACAATCCTGTCTCAAACCTGGGCCAGTCAAAGAGTTCTAACTGTCTCAAACTTGGGCCAGTCAAAGAGTTCTAACTGTTGAAAACTTGGGCCAGTCAAAGAGTTCTAACAGTTGAAAACTTGGGCCAGTCAAAGTGTTCTAACTGTTGAAAACTTGGGCCAGTCAAAGAGTTCTAACTGTTGAAAACTTGGGCCAGTCAAAGAGTTCTAACTGTTGAAAACTTGGGCCAGTCAAAGTGTTCTAACTGTTGAAAACTTGGGCCAGTCAAAGAGTTCTAACTGTTGAAAACTTGGGCCAGTCAAAGAGTTCTAACTGTTGAAAACTTGGGCCAGTCAAAGAGTTCTAACTGTTGAAAACTTGGGCCAGTCAAAGAGTTCTAACTGTTGAAAACTTGGGCCAGTCAAAGAGTTCTAACTGTTGAAAACTTGGGCCAGTCAAAGAGTTCTAACTGTTGAAAACTTGGGCCAGTCAAAGTGTTCTAACTGTTGAAAACTTGGGCCAGTCAAAGTGTTCTAACTGTTGAAAACTTGGGCCAGTCAAAGAGTTCTAACTGTTGAAAACTTGGGCCAGTCAAAGAGTTCTAACTGTTGAAAACTTGGGCCAGTCAAAGAGTTCTAACTGTTGAAAACTTGGGCCAGTCAAAGAGTTCTAACTGTTGAAAACTTGGGCCAGTCAAAGAGTTCTAACTGTTGAAAACTTGGGCCAGTCAAAGAGTTCTAACTGTTGAAAACTTGGGCCAGTCAAAGTGTTCTAACTGTTGAAAACTTGGGCCAGTCAAAGTGTTCTAACAGTTGAAAACTTGGGCCAGTCAAAGAGTTCTAACTGTTGAAAACTTGGGCCAGTCAAAGAGTTCTAACTGTTGAAAACTTGGGCCAGTCAAAGAGTTCTAACTGTTGAAAACTTGGGCCAGTCAAAGAGTTCTAACAGTTGAAAACTTGGGCCAGTCAAAGTGTTCTAACTGTTGAAAACTTGGGCCAGTCAAAGTGTTCTAACTGTTGAAAACTTGGGCCAGTCAAAGAGTTCTAACTGTTGAAAACTTGGGCCAGTCAAAGAGTTCTAACTGTTGAAAACTTGGGCCAGTCAAAGAGTTCTAACTGTTGAAAACTTGGGCCAGTCAAAGAGTTCTAACTGTTGAAAACTTGGGCCAGTCAAAGAGTTCTAACTGTTGAAAACTTGGGCCAGTCAAAGAGTTCTAACTGTTGAAAACTTGAGCCAGTCAAAGTGTTCTAACTGTTGAAAACTTGGGCCAGTCAAAGTGTTCTAACTGTTGAAAACTTGGGCCAGTCAAAGAGTTCTAACTGTTGAAAACTTGGGCCAGTCAAAGAGTTCTAACTGTTGAAAACTTGGGCCAGTCAAAGTGTTCTAACTGTTGAAAACTTGGGCCAGTCAAAGTGTTCTAACTGTTGAAAACTTGGGCCAGTCAAAGTGTTCTAACTGTTGAAAACCTTGGGCCAGTCAAAGTGTTCTAACTGTTGAAAACTTGGGCCAGTCAAAGAGTTCTAACTGTTGAAAACTTGGTCCAGTCAAAGAGTTTTAACTGTTGAAAACTTGGGCCAGTCAAAGAGTTCTAACAGTTGAAAACTTGGGCCAGTCAAAGTGTTCTAACTGTTGAAAACTTGGGCCAGTCAAAGAGTTCTAACTGTTGAAAACTTGGGCCAGTCAAAGAGTTCTAACTGTTGAAAACTTGGGCCAGTCAAAGAGTTCTAACTGTTGAAAACTTGGGCCAGTCAAAGAGTTCTAACTGTTGAAAACTTGGGCCAGTCAAAGAGTTCTAACAGTTGAAAACTTGGGCCAGTCAAAGAGTTCTAGCAGTTGAAAACTTGGGCCAGTCAAAGTGTTCTAACAGTTGAAAACTTGGGCCAGTCAAAGTGTTCTAACTGTTGAAAACTTGGGCCAGTCAAAGTGTTCTAACTGTTGAAAACTTGGGCCAGTCAAAGTGTTCTAGCAGTTGAAAACTTGGGCCAGTCAAAGAGTTCTAACTGTTGAAAACTTGGGCCAGTCAAAGAGTTCTAACTGTTGAAAACTTGGGCCAGTCAAAGAGTTCTAACTGTTGAAAACTTGGGCCAGTCAAAGAGTTCTAACTGTTGAAAACTTGGGCCAGTCAAAGAGTTCTAACTGTTGAAAACTTGGGCCAGTCAAAGAGTTCTAACAGTTGAAAACTTGTGCCAGTCAAAGAGTTCTAGCAGTTGAAAACTTGGGCCAGTCAAAGTGTTCTAACAGTTGAAAACTTGGGCCAGTCAAAGTGTTCTAACTGTTGAAAACTTGGGCCAGTCAAAGTGTTCTAACTGTTGAAAACTTGGGCCAGTCAAAGTGTTCTAGCAGTTGAAAACTTGGGCCAGTCAAAGAGTTCTAACAGTTGAAAACTTGGGCCAGTCAAAGTGTTCTAGCAGTTGAAAACTTGGGCCAGTCAAAGTGTTCTAGCAGTTGAAAACTTGGGCCAGTCAAAGAGTTCTAACTGTTGAAAACTTGGGCCAGTCAAAGTGTTCTAACTGTTGAAAACTTGGGCCAGTCAAAGTGTTCTAGCAGTTGAAAACTTGGGCCAGTCAAAGTGTTCTAGCAGTTGAAAACTTGGGCCAGTCAAAGAGTTCTAGCAGTTGAAAACTTGGGCCAGTCAAAGAGTTCTAACAGTTGAAAACTTGGGCCAGTCAAAGTGTTCTAGCAGTTGAAAACTTGGGCCAGTCAAAGAGTTCTAGCAGTTGAAAACTTGGGCTGTGTAGCTACTCACTGCTGCCAGTTGGACTTGTCCTTCTAACACAAACATCCGATGAGGCTGTGCATCAGCAACTTTAATTAAATCCAGGATCGCTTTCTTGTCCAACATCAAGTTGCCCCTGTGAAACATTAATTGAACTCATGTTCGAAAGTTAGCCACACAATTTAAACAGCTAATGAATTGAACTCATGTTCAACTAAATGTTGCCTGTGTGTACTGAAAGTTGCCTGTGTGTACTGAAAGTTGCCTGTGTGTACTGAAAGTTGCCTGTGAAAGTTGCCTGTGTGTACTGAAAGTTGCCTGTGTGTAATGAAACTTGCCTGTGAAAGTTGCCTGTGTGTACTGAAAGATGCCTGTGTGTACTGAAAGTTGCCTGTGTGTACTGAAAGTTGCCTGTGTGTACTGAAAGTTGCCTGTGTGTACTGAAAGTTGCCTGTGTGTACTGAAAGTTGCCTGTGTGTACTGAAAGTTGCCTGTGTACCCTGGAGATCCTCCTGGCCTGGTGTTCGTCAGTGTTTTAAACAAGATGGCGCTTGGTACCGACTTCCGCCTTGTCCTGTGTTCTCTGCTGCTTCCCTGGTAAACAAATTGTAGTGATGACGCCATTTTGACAAACTGAACAAATTGTAGATATGACGCCATTTTTACAAACTGAACACATTTTAGTGATGACGCCATTTTGACAAACTGAACAAATTGTAGTGATGACGCCATTTTGACAAACTGAACAAATTGTAGTGATGACGCCATTTTGACAAACTGAACAAATTGTAGTGATGACGCCATTTTGACAAACTGAACAAATTGTAGTGATGAAGCCATTTTGACAAACTGAAAAAATTGTAGTGATGACGCCATTTTGACAAACTGAACAAATTGTAGTGATGACGCCATTTTGACAAACTGAACAAATTGTAGATATGACGCCATTTTGACAAACTGAACAAATTGTAATGATAACGTCTTTTTTTTTGTACACCCACAATAACCCCCCCCCCCCCCCCACACACACACACACCACATAAATGGTTCAATAAAACTGGCTGGTTCAACTAAAGCAGGCTAGAAACAAAACTTACAGGGGACCTGTCGGCACTATGGGATCCGTTCTGCTCAATACTGCCTGGTCTGGCATCTGACACACGTCCTGTGGCATCCTTTCTGTCATTCACCATCTGATAAACAACAAAATTTTATTAGAATTATGCCAGAATGTACCGTGCGACGGGTACAATATACCGTGTGCCGGGTACAATATACCGTGTGCCGGGTACAATATACCGTGTGCCGGGTACAATATACCGTGTGCCGGGTACAATATACCGTGTGCCGGGTACAATATACCGTGTGCCGGGTACAATATACCGTGTGCCGGGTACAATATACCGTGTGCCGGGTACAATATACCGTGTGCCGGGTACAATATACCGTGTGCCGGGTACAATATACCGTGTGCCGGGTACAATATACCGTGTGCCGGGTACAATATACCGTGTGCCGGGTACAATATACCGTGTGCCGGGTACAATATACCGTGTGCCGGGTACAATATACCGTGTGCCGGGTACAATATACCGTGTGCCGGGTACAATATACCGTGTGCCGGGTACAATATACCGTGTGCCGGGTACAATATACCGTGTGCCGGGTACAATATACCGTGTGCCGGGTACAATATACCGTGTGCCGGGTACAATATACCGTGTGCCGGGTACAATATACCGTGTGCCGGGTACAATATACCGTGTGCCGGGTACAATATACCGTGTGCCGGGTACAATATACCGTGTGCCGGGTACAATATACCGTGTGCCGGGTACAATATACCGTGTGCCGGGTACAATATACCGTGTGCCGGGTACAATATACCGTGTGCCGGGTACAATATACCGTGTGCCGGGTACAATATACCGTGTGCCGGGTACAATATACCGTGTGCCGGGTACAATATACCGTGTGCCGGGTACAATATACCGTGTGCCGGGTACAATATACCGTGTGCCGGGTACAATATACCGTGTGCCGGGTACAATATACCGTGTGCTGGTTGGATATTTGAGCTGTACCAGATAGGTTGGTTGTGGCAGGGAGAGGGAACCAAACCATTTGACCCAGACCATTGACTGGGATGTTTGTTCTACTTGTGTAACGATGTAACGACCATTGACTGGGATGTTTGTTCTACTTGTGTAACGACCATTGACTGGGATGTTTGTTCTACTTGTGTAACGACCATTGACTGGGATGTTTGTTCTACTTGTGTAACGATGTAACGACCATTGACTGGGATGTTTGTTCTACTTGTGTAACGATGTAACGACCATTGACTGGGATGTTTGTTCTACTTGTGTAACGATGTAACGACCATTGACTGGGATGTTTGTTCTACTTGTGTAACGACCATTGACTGGGATGTTTGTTCTACTTGTGTAACGACCATTGACTGGGATGTTTGTTCTACTTGTGTAACGATGTAACGACCATTGACTGGGATGTTTGTTCTACTTGTGTAACGATGTAACGACCATTGACTGGGATGTTTGTTCTATTTGTGTAACGATGTAACGACCATTGACTGGGATGTTTGTTCTACTTGTGTAACGACCATTGACTGGGATGTTTGTTCTACTTGTGTAACGATGTAACGACCATTGACTGGGATGTTTGTTCTACTTGTGTAACGATGTAACGACCATTGACTGGGATGTTTGTTCTACTTGTGTAACGATGTAACGACCCTTGACCATCAAGACAGGGGGGAGTTACATTTTAGAGTCTAGTCTTTGAACGTAGATTTATGCATGGCTTATTATTTTATCTAAACACACACACGTTTCAGTCATCACTTTGATTTAGAAATGAATGCGTAAAGAAAACCTTGCCGATAACGGCTATATAAATATTAATTTACACACACACACACGTATATATATATATATATATATATATATATATATATATATATATATATATATATATATATATATATATATATATATATATATATATATATATATTTATATTTATATTTATATATATATTTATATATATATATAATTACTTACGGATTCGAGTTGATTGTTGGCTGCAGTCAAATCCTCAAAGTCAGGATGTGACTTGTCAGTTTGTTTCAGCAGCTGTTCGATGTACTGACCATAATCCGCTAACCTTTGAAC